CACGTGAATATAATTCATCATGAAGTGAACAGCAGATAATATTTTCCGAATATAATATTTTCCAAACCCCTTACGTTATCTTTTGCAGAGAACGAAGCACATCTGTTCAGAAGATACTTTAAAGGACAAACTTGAACTACTTTTGATCTGACTCACCACCTGCGGCGTGACTAAACTTTGTGCGTCTAGGCTAGATTATGGGTCGCGGCTAAGGTATTTCGGGTTTTGGCATTCTGAAAATGGCTATCATGAAAAGTTTTTCGACCGTAACGGCAAGGAACAGAATAAGCCAACAAAAATACCATGAGCGAAGAAGGAAGTTTTTTTAAATAACACTTCCATTCAAAGAAGACATTGTCCCTAACAGGATCAGGAGAGTTTTATCCAATGCAGTGGAATCCAATTGTAATGCCGCTCAGTTAAGAAGTATGTTCGCTCCGTCACCAAACATGTGATGCCACAACAGAGATAAGCTACTGATGTTGATTTCATCTATGATGGTCTATCGATTCAAGTGTTCTTGTAAGGCGACTTATGTAGGTCAAACGACAGGGCAGTTATCTCAGCATATCAAAGAACACACTCCACACTGGATCACACCTGATGAGTGTGGAGCTGTGTCAAGTGTAATCTTTGCTCATTTAGTAGAGACACCTTAATAAGTTGATCACTTTGTACAGTTTGTCACAGATTATTTAAAGTGTGATGATAGCCCATCGTTACGTTTCGTGACGCGCTTCGTTCAGTATTCGTTCGAACGCTCCCTTTTCCGTATTCGCGTAACCGGGATCCGGTATGGACAGCGCTCACGATCGTCGAGCATGATCAGTTAGATGAGCTTGGTTTGGTAAAACAACATACTGCAAAACGGACATATAACATGCACGGAGGAGTTAACTGATGCCACTATAACGACAGGGAAGCCAAACGTTCGCAGTGGTACCAACTGCAAACATCAGGATCTTAGTCTGTCGAATGAATTAACAGAAGAAACGAACTTTTCTGACGAGTTTGAAAACCTTTGTACAATCCTCTCCGAAAATTTGAAGCGAATGTGTTTCGTTATGTCATTGCTGATTCTGATAAAACCGAACGGGCAAAGAGGGTATATGCGTTTAGTATTCGTTGATGTCCGCCTCTAATCGGCCTGTTTGAACACTATTAGAACCTATATTAAATTTGATTGGCCATTTTTATAATTCATCGTCACCCACCAATTTCAATGCATCCAGTCAAATAAACAGTTCAGTTCAGTTGTTACAACCATTAACCATGCACTTTCGTGCGCCGGTTTTGGTTGCTGTCTTTTGGTTGCCCATTTGGATAAAACAGCGAAATGAAGAGTGGAATGTCGAAGCAAATTCAAGCTGAAGATGGGGAATTCAAATAGAGTGGTGTTAGGAAAATAACGAGTGGATGCACGAGCGCCACTGTTTGCGATACCCAGCCATATCACTCAGTGTAACAAACCATCGGTGGCCATCATCCCGAAGTCCCCAGTCAGGGAGGTTAACGGGGCCTATGTGACCTAGTCTCCTGGTTAAGGTTTTCATACCCTCATTCCAGGTCTGAGCTTGACCGCCCTTCGTTTTTTTCCAATCGCTACCAGCCTTGGCAAACATCGTTCGCCGTGGCAACCTACCTGGGGACATGCGTAGCACATGTCCCAACTAGCGTAATCTATGGAGGTCGATAACTTGCTCAAATATACAGTAGGCAATCTCTATGATTAAGGTTCTATTTAAATGCAGTTCATCGGTCTACCAGACCTCAGAAGGAGCACGTGTTACCACCATCCCAACCATATCACATTGAAGTAAACCAGAATGACCGGATTGGCATCATTTCAGAGATAGCCTTCAATGGCATTGAATCAGTTGTGGAACCAACTACATCGAAGTGTAACAGATTACGAGCTGCTTAATACAATCTACCACCCATCATTAAATCAAACGTTCCATACACACTTGGTTACGGTCTCCTAATAAATCATGCTATGTTAGAATTTCAATCTGAATTTTGGCCCAGGTACTTGTGAGTAGCGGAGTGGGATAAATTGTTGTGAGTCAAAATATTTCCATATTCCCACCGGGTAAATAAAAAGAACAAAAAAGGTGGAGCAACCTAATTTCCGATTAAATTCAGTTTACATGAAAAAGGACCGTCACTTAGACTGCATGCACACAAATAATTCAGCAAACCGGAGCGACGGACGTGCGAGTTAAGCTATCTGGATGGGTCACGTGAATTTGCGCACAGTCGGTTTCATTTGCATACTATCGATATTTCGGGCCAAAATAACACCAGGGCTAGTTGACTGCATTTCTTTCATGACGCTCAACTTACGCAAATCGAATTCACAGGCTGATGAGAAATAAGAATTGATGAGTCAGGTTAGATCATTACCCATTTTGATCTCACATGTACAAAACACCAAGTCCATTCACTGGATACGGGACACTTTATTTTCATCACCGAATTCATTTTACTGATTATGAAACCTTATTCCGAGTATACTGTACTCGGATTCCGGAATTCGACTGTAATTGCTGAGGGGTTGCTAGGTAGTAACAGCCTAGGTAAGTGTGCTTGCCACATTCACATTTATTTCTTGTTTTTATTCATTTAATTTTTGAATGGACTCATTCTTTCGAAACATCAAGATTGTCTGGTGTCTCTGAAAAAGCGAATGGGCTAATCCAAGCTTGATTCTCTAAAACTGATTGAGCCATTCGCACAAGGTGATAACCGTCGACCGTGTAGCTCAATGGTAAGGGTTTGAAGTCTCGACCCGACTGATCGCGGTTCGAGTCCTGTCAGGGAAACAAAATGTACGCACTGCGGATGAGTCCCAAACAGGACGAAACAGCTGTCCATTGCTCTTTGTTGATCATCACAAACATTTCCATCGCATTCTAATAACTGGTTAGGTAAATGGGATCTAATCTCAACTTTTTGGTTTTT